CCATACGAGAATCAGATGTTAGGAATAGATAAAGAATATGTTGGGGTTACTACTAGAAATCTAGGGGTAAGGATAAAAGAGCACAGATATGATGTGAGAAAAGGTTCGAATGCCACAGTATTGTCTCAAATGGCGCAAACGGAGGGTTCGATAGTAAGATGGAATGAAGCAGATATACTGAAACAAATACACTCCCCGACCTTGGCAAAAACGGCCGAAAAATTAGAAATTTATAAAAGCAAACTTAAAGGGAATTGCATCAACGCAAGGGATGCCGAGGGACTTCCTTCCGCATGGAAGTTTGCAGTTAAAAACTTCAAATAAGAGCAGGAGCTTTAATATTATGTATATAAAAAACTCTGTATAGTTTAGTTGAGAAACTCCGTACAGTTTATTAAGCATTATTAATATATAGTGTTATCGATTTGTCTATTAAGTTTGAAGTATTAATATTTTGTATACACAATTTATTTGTTATATTTTAATATTTTATTTTTATTTATAATTTTAGCAGCATTTGTATTAATTATATTATTTAAAAACGTTATTTTGCTGTTAGTAATATATTGGTTATCCGTTATTAATATTTATATTTTTTGTATTTTGAACTTGTTGTTCTATTTTTTGAAATGTTCTAATTTACCTGACGATGATCCATTGATTGGATTGAAAACGTTTGTGTTAAGAATAAATCTCTCAGCGAGTGAACAGGTGTTGATTTAGTTATAGTTTATATTTCTTACTTTCTTAACAAACTTTCTAAATTCTTTATAATGATAACTATCATTCTTTATTGAGTGATAATTATTATTATTAAAGTTCATAAAAAAAAATAAATAAATACCCTTTTGATTTCATTTTGTAGATCTAAAATTTTAGCCTTTTCAACAGCTAATTCTTTTCTAAGCTTTAGATTTTCATTTTCTTCTTGTTTCAATTTTTCATTAGTTATTTTAAGTAATTGTTGTAAATTCTTATATTTTGTTTTCCATAATTCAATTTGCTGCTTATATTGGTTTAATTCCTGAGTAAGATCCTTAATATCTACTTCAGACTCTTTTACTTCTTGTTTTAATTGAATTATATGATGTTGGAACATATCAATATATTGACTTTGTTCTTTGAGGTCTTCCTGTAAAATAATAACAAATACTTAAATGTAAAGAAATATTTAAGGTAATGTAAAACCAAAAATAATTTGTGGAATTTCACTGTAATTATTAAAAATATAGCAATATATAATTTTTAAAACTATAAATTTAAAAATTATGTATTTATCATTATATTTTTAATATATTTAATTTTATAAAGTAATATTAATATTGTTAGGTATATTAAATACTTGTATAAGATGTCACGCCAACAGTTGTGTTAATTCAATTAGAAACTTCAGACTAGGAGGCGTTAAAGAGAATTAAAAGGAATATTTTAATCTTGCAAGCGCTTTCAATGTAAATATATACATTGACCTCAGGCAATTCAAAATCGAAAACAAAAATTTTTTTTCGATTTTGAATTGTCTGAGGTCGATGTGTATATTTACGTTGAAAGCACTTGCAAGATTAAAATATTCCTTTTAATTCTCTTTAACGCCTCTTAGTCTGAAGTTTCTAATTGAATTAATATTAATATTATTATTATGATTATGAAGAAAACAAATAATAATACTTATATACAGAATAAAGTACATTCTATATTTTAAATCAATTCCCTTTGATTATTTTAGTGCTGGAACAAGCATGCTTCACATGCATACACTTGTGCAATGCTGGGAAAGATTTCTTTGTCCTTGGTTAGATGTTTAAGTTTTCTGTATAATCAATGTAGTTGTCTTGTATATCCAATTGTCTAGCATTCTTAAACTCAAAACATTCATTTCAGTTTCATAATGTACTATTATATCACTTCTGATTTTGAGTTTTATTTATTTATTTTCATAAAAAATTATTATATTATGATTGTTTGAATTTCTGAAGAATTTTGTACGTTATTGTGACATCAACACAATGCCAGACTGCAATTTTTAATCATGTTTTTAATTTGTTTAATTTAAAAAACATTCTCTCCACCTCAAATTAGTAGTGTCATGCCCCTGTACTGTATATCATACTTTTCCTGTTAGCAATAGTCATGCCAGTCATCTGTCTAACTACAGTTGACCCCCTATAACGCGGTAGATATGTTCCACTTTATAAGAATTTTGCATTGTAGGAGTTCTTAAATACATGAGCCAATCACAGCCCGGCACATGTGCAGTTTACAGACTACTGCTGTTTGAAAGGTTTTCTTCCATAAAATTAATCGATTCTAGACTAATTTGACTCGACATTTTTAAAACATGTATAATTTTTTGGGAATAATCCATATAAACTATGCTATAAACAAAAAATTGTAGGATTACTTACCGAGTGTGCACTGTTTGATGACGGCATTGCTTAAACTTGTTTTCGTCATGGAGCGGCGCACCGAACGGTGGACGCGTTTTCTGATAAGTTTTTTCTTCGAAAAATTCGTTGAACTTTAGAGACATCATTAATAGAAATAATTTATATGGCCGTTGAATAAGAAATGTTTTTTTCACAAGAAATGTATAAAATTACAGTACTGTATTAGACTTACAGTACCTGTCTGTATTATACTGTACAGACAATAGTAAACTCAACTTACCCGCCTAAACTGTCTGTAGCATGTAAGTAGTTCGGCTGCTCGTCCACTATTGGTCCAGATTCGACCAATCCTGTCGCAACACGAGTCTGCAATGACGTTTTACCGCATTTTACGAGTTCTTTTTAGCGTCATTATACAAATACAGTTGCAATTTTTTCACTGCAATATATGAATCCACATTCCGAATCCTCAATATACGAATCTGCATTATATGAACCCGCGTTATAGGGTGGTCGACTGTACTTTCAGGGGAAAATTTTTGAATTGAAATAACATATTGTCCAGTTTACGTCAAAAGTTTGTACATAGTTAATCAGGGCCTTCTCTTGCTGCTCCTAAGCTTTCCGTATCTGGTCTCAGCTTTCATCTATCTAACTCCATTCTCAGGATTAAGGACAGACACGCAGATGGATTGACAACAGTAAGAATTTATGTCTACAATTTTTTCAAATTGCAACCCAATAACTACATTTTAATTCAACAGAAAATATGAATTAAGAATTTAGATTCAGCTTTTTATCAACTGTTCTGCTATTTCTCTATGCATATGGCTATGCTATGGTAGTTTTTGGGCTTTAAACCCATTCCATTTGGCAAATCAAAAAGAAAAATGTTACTATGTTAATAAAACAGTACGTTGTATTTATTTTGTAACTATTTGGTTCCTCCTTAGCCTGCTGTATTGTTACTGTATATATTTATATTGTAAAAATTAATATTTTATGAAAAATAATGTTTTTTAAACCCTATCCTTTTAAAAATCCTGTGCATAAGTCTATAATAATTTATGATTTTAATAAAAAATTACATCAAATGATAATTAAGATTTGATCCATGTATAGATTTACCTGTGTTTCCATTAATACTTTCTTACATTTATCATAATCTTTATATAATTTGTTTAACAAATTTTCTTGATATTCAAAATACTTTTCTGCTTCTTCCAATAAATTCTTTTGAGAAATACACTCAGTTTCCAACATTTTTACTTTATCTGAAAAATGATGAGTCTGTAATAATAAAAAACATATAATATATATAATCTTTAATGAATATATTCTTTTATTAATTAAAATGTAAATTATATAATTTCTTAATTATACAAATTTATTAAACTATCATTTTATAAAAGACATGTTTACATTTTGATACATTAGTTTAAAAGTGAATTTTAAGATTTGCTTTAATGAGAGAAAAATTTTTAAATAATGAATTTAATAAATAATTTTTTTTAAGATTTACAATTTAATAAATAAATTACTAAGTTGAGAATCCAATAGTTTTATTTGAAAAGAAACATTTTTGGACTCATTTGGTCCATTATCAGCTCTTCATGCAGAATTAAGAACAAACTACAATTGATGCTTGATTTTAGAATATTTTATATTTAAAATTTATACAGAACAATAAAAAGAGTTACACAAACTCAAAACCCAATATAATTGATGAAATCAGGGCTGTGGAGTCGGGTCGGAGTCGTGGAGTTTTGATGTTTTAGCCGGAGTCGGAGTCGAAGTCGGTAGATTTTTACGCGACTTCCACAGCCCTGGCAGGGCTGTTGAGTCGGAGTCGGAGTCGGAGTCGTGGAGTTTTGGTGTTTTAGCCTGAGTCGGAGTCGGATGATAAGGAAAAGTTGGAGTCAGAGTCAGAGTCGGTAGATTTTTACGCGACTCCACAGCCCTAGATTAAATCCAAATGATTAAAGTCAAATGAGCTTAAATTGTATAAACTCACATTATTTTTTAAATCCATTATTTCTGTTTTTTGAATAGTTGTTTTCTTTTCTAAATGAATGACCATTTTTCTTAAATCTTCAGTTTTATTTTGGTATGTTTTAAGTTCTTCTATCACAGCCTCTGTCTTCTTTTCATAAGTAGAAATTAATATTTCTTTTTCTTGTTTTAACTTATTTTCATTGTGTATTTTCTGAAATTAATTGAAAATGCATTACGGATTAATTAGAATATGAACTGTTTAAATTTAAAGAATTGCAATAAATCAAATAAATTTTAGAATTGTAATCATTAATTACTTAAATGTGAGACTAACATTTAATACAGATATTGATAAAGATTTTTATATTTAACTGAAGAACCAACCATAATGAGATTTAGTTAGAGGAAAATAGACTAGCCTTACAATCATTTTTTAATTATAAATTGTAATTATGCTAATTTACATGCTAAATGCATATTATTTGATGTAGCTAAAAATTAGAAAATAAAAAAAAAGAATAATGAAACATATTTTAAATCAATAAATTATATACATTATGTTATAAATTATAACTAGAGTCAAATATGATTTTATCTTTTAATTAATATTACAAGATTAAAAAGCTTGATAAAAAATTTGTGAGAGTAACTAAGATTTTCAAATATAGAGACTCAGATTTGGGAGTCATATACAAGTCTAACAATATTATAACTTTTTATTTGGACTTGATACTTTATGAGTCCAAGTCCAAGTTTTATATATGTTAAAAAAAAGAAAAGAATTAAATTTCTTTGGGTTTTAAAACTAGTACTTCTTTACTATTACTAATAATGCTTAGTTCATCATCACATCTATAATTCTAATAATATACAGTATGTGATATTGAGTATGATTTAGTTAGATATTTAACTTTATTTCAGTTTGTATATTTTTGTAGATTCACAACTGATAATTTCAAACATTTCATTGTCCAGGACTAAAATTCATGTAATAAAAATTATTAATTTTTTGACATTTAGAATGAAAATTGACAGATTGATGCTAAAATGTATATATGCATACATGTATAGGGAACATTCTCTATACATGTATTCAGTGGTGATATTCAGCGGGTTCGCACAGGTTCGGCCGAACCCGTTGTTAACATTTTCAAAGTTTTCCGAACCCATTGTTAAACACACGTAACATTTCTCAGTGGTTTTGTTTCTTTTAAAAAATATATTAAAATATACGTATTATACTCTGTAACACTACTAAACTAAAGCCTTATACCCCGTTTGCCATGGTGCAACCTCCATCGACTGTTTCAATCTCGACTGAAACGAGATTTAATCGCGATCGACTCAAGAGAGTTCTTGAAACTAGGTCCACTCATACGAGAGATCCCACAATCCCACGCGCGCGAGAAAATACAAGATGGCTGCGGAACACGTGTCGGGCTATCGACAGCGAAATAAAAAAGATATTGTATTTTGAGAGACGATGACATCTGTCTATTATTATAATAATACTTAATGATAAAATAAATGATTTAGAAAACTTTTTTCTTGAGAAAAAGCCAATTTTTATGTTTATAAAATATTTTGAATGAAAAATATTAAAATATGTACAAAATAAACCATTTTGTACATATTTTATTATTTTTAAAAAAAATTTTTTATTTTTTTATTATTTATAAAAAAAAATATAGTTCTGGCATAAACAATGTTAAATTTTAAACTGATGTAATTTTGCAAACACATCTTTTTTATTTATATGGGTATCTTAAGGCCAGTTTTTGTGCTAATGTTGCTAATGCACCATTTGAGCGAAAAAAAATTGTTAAGGAAAAATTTTCTGTTAGCAAACCCTTTGTTAAATATTTCGAATATCACCACTGCATGTATTTCACATATGAAATAGTAGTCTGCAGCTACTATTTTTATTTTTATAACCTTTGTATTGTATACACTAATTACATATTTTTCTTTCTTAATGTTTGAAGAATAAAAGTTATAAAAATCAATAATAATATTTATTACAGTAAAATAATAATGTAAATGAACAAACAACAACAAAATAACTTTTGGACAAAATCTGATGGCCAATAACAACAAAAAAACTTAATTGAAATTTTAAAGTGATGTTTTTTATTAAACTATTTAAACAAATATATTATATAATTTAAGGCTATTTAAATGCAAACAATTTGACTTAAACGTTTTTAAATGTCTATGAAAAGAATTTTTTCCTACCTTATGTATTGCTTGCTGATGCTTTTTTAAATGATTTTCATTTATTTTGTTTTGCTCCAATTCATTTTTCATTACTTCAAGCTCTATAAAGGAAATATAAAGTTTTAAGACTTTTCATAATGATAATGATCTTTAACCATTTTTAAAATTTTTTAAGTTATTTCTGATATTGTATTAAAATACAAATTAACTTTTACATAATAATTAAATTTTAAAAGATGTTTAAAATTTAAAACATATAATGCAAGAAAGTGATAAATATGATTATTTAGGTAAAATGAAATTTAAAAATTGTCAAATTTTCTTTCATCATAAAAAATTATTACATATTAATTTGAAATATACTAATACTTATAGACATATATTATTAAGATATTAACATTGAACAATTTATAACAAAATGCTTTGAAGGGTGCTTCTTGTCAATATTACTAATACTAGTATTTTGGCTTAGCAATCTATTTTCAAGAACAATACCAAAGAGAATACTAACATCCAATTTTAAACAAAGCCAGACAATAGCCATTCAGTTCAATTTAAAAAATTTATATCATATAGCAACAAAAGGAAATTTAAGCAGTATAAATCAGAATAATAATTACAAAAAATGGTTTTAAACACAATTTACAAAATAAACAAATATTTCTACAGAATTGGAAGATTTTTTTCTTTTCAAAGATATTAGCTCTATATCCCTGGCCAGGACAAATAGTACAATTGTAAACTAATAAGATTTCAAACTATCTGAGTTCAAATTAATGAGGATTTCCTGTATATATCTATACTAATATTATAAACAGGGCCATACCGTGCTATGATGCAGAGATGCGGCTGCATCAGGCGGCACCGTATGGGGGTGGCATAAGCAGCATTCAAAGGGTGGCATAAGCGGCATTTAAGAGGCAGCATTTCGAAGATTTGCATTATACTAAGAAAATCTACTGCACGGCCCTGATTATAAAGAGGTAATGTTTGTAAGTACTGTATGTAAGTTTGTATGCAGCAGGTAATTTCCGAAACTACTCATCCGATTTCATAAATTCTTTCACCAATATTTAGAATGGAACTTCAGGATGGACAAAGGCTGTATATTATTTCGTTAAACATTCATATAAATTAAAAGATATAATCTAGGTTAAGGCTTTTATGTCCAACAGATGGCGCTACGAGTACGATGCCCTAAGTTTGCTTTTCTGTAAGGCATTATGCTTTTCTGTGAAAATGAACTAAAGCAGATCATCATCTATCTATTTATATAAATAAAAATGTAATGTTCGTTTGTTCCTACTGATTCCTTTGAAATTTTGACACAACGCTGCATTCGAATACGCACGTGTTTTTATATAATATACATGTTGAAATTCAACCCCACTGAAGGGAGATGGTTAGGATTAAGACTTACGGTAAAGAACTCTGATTCTATTTATACTATTTTAGATGTGGATTTTTGCGTTTTTGATTGCGTTTTAATAGGGTACGTCAGCAGAATGTACACTAACAAGAAATTTTTCGAAAAATTCTCCCTCCCCACGAGGGAAGTGTTATAAATTTATAATAGATACATTTTGAGCCACAACAACGCGTGGCGGGGTCTCTAGTATATATATATATATATTTTTTTTTTTACCAGTTTCCAGTAAAATTTCAAAAAAACCCATTGTCTACAATATGTATCAAATATTCATTCTATAGTTTAAACTTTTTTTCATTTATTTTTAATATAATTATTTTCTTTTGATTTAGATGACTAGTGAAATTTTTGAATTTATTTCATCTGTACTTTTATCATTATCTTTAATAACTCAATAAGTTCAATTTGTTCAATAAGATTTGTAGGTCTAAAGTGCCAAAATTATTTTAATTGAGATATTAAGAAAAATCCCTTATGAATATTATCAAGTTTTAAGTTTAGTTTAATAAGTTTAACAAGATTATATCATGAAAGAATCATTACCCAAGCCATTATTCAGCAGACTCTCATATTTTAGGTCAAGTAAATGAAGAAATATCATAAAATTACAAACAAATGATTAATTAAAAAATTACATTACATTAAAAGATGAAAAAGATTAAAATTTATATGTACAGTATAAAATATTCAGAAATAATAATAATATACATATTCAGTAATATAATTTGTACATTACAGTCTATTAGTGACATATTATTATGTAAATATTATAAGCAGAAATTTACTTATTCTAGTGATGCCACGAATATTCGGCTACTATTCGGTATTCGGCTACTTTTTTTAATATTCGGTATTCGGCCAAATGTTGCATACTATTCAGCCGAATACCGAATCATGGAAAAAATGCACATATTACTCAAAAATGTATTTATTTTAATCACAAATTATTACATTTAAAGTCTATCAGTGGTAAGTTGTGATGAATGAAAACAATTTTTTCAGCATTTGTTGATAGCGAACGATTGTGCTTTTCCTCATAAACTATACCTGCTTCTGAAAATAGCCTNATCATCTATCTATTTATATAAATAAAAATGTAATGTTCGTTTGTTCCTACTGATTCCTTTGAAATTTTGACACAACGCTGCATTCGAATACGCACGTGTTTTTATATAATATACATGTTGAAATTCAACCCCACTGAAGGGAGATGGTTAGGATTAAGACTTACGGTAAAGAACTCTGATTCTATTTATACTATTTTAGATGTGGATTTTTGCGTTTTTGATTGCGTTTTAATAGGGTACGTCAGCAGAATGTACACTAACAAGAAATTTTTCGAAAAATTCTCCCTCCCCACGAGGGAAGTGTTATAAATTTATAATAGATACATTTTGAGCCACAACAACGCGTGGCGGGGTCTCTAGTATATATATATATATATTTTTTTTTTTACCAGTTTCCAGTAAAATTTCAAAAAAACCCATTGTCTACAATATGTATCAAATATTCATTCTATAGTTTAAACTTTTTTTCATTTATTTTTAATATAATTATTTTCTTTTGATTTAGATGACTAGTGAAATTTTTGAATTTATTTCATCTGTACTTTTATCATTATCTTTAATAACTCAATAAGTTCAATTTGTTCAATAAGATTTGTAGGTCTAAAGTGCCAAAATTATTTTAATTGAGATATTAAGAAAAATCCCTTATGAATATTATCAAGTTTTAAGTTTAGTTTAATAAGTTTAACAAGATTATATCATGAAAGAATCATTACCCAAGCCATTATTCAGCAGACTCTCATATTTTAGGTCAAGTAAATGAAGAAATATCATAAAATTACAAACAAATGATTAATTAAAAAATTACATTACATTAAAAGATGAAAAAGATTAAAATTTATATGTACAGTATAAAATATTCAGAAATAATAATAATATACATATTCAGTAATATAATTTGTACATTACAGTCTATTAGTGACATATTATTATGTAAATATTATAAGCAGAAATTTACTTATTCTAGTGATGCCACGAATATTCGGCTACTATTCGGTATTCGGCTACTTTTTTTAATATTCGGTATTCGGCCAAATGTTGCATACTATTCAGCCGAATACCGAATCATGGAAAAAATGCACATATTACTCAAAAATGTATTTATTTTAATCACAAATTATTACATTTAAAGTCTATCAGTGGTAAGTTGTGATGAATGAAAACAATTTTTTCAGCATTTGTTGATAGCGAACGATTGTGCTTTTCCTCATAAACTATACCTGCTTCTGAAAATAGCCTCTCACTATATACACTACTGCCGGGAGACGATAGATAAATCTTAGCAAATTCTGTCAGGCTTGGGTACTGTTTTGCGTTTGCTGACCACCACTTGTAAAGGTCTGCCGTCCGATCTAGGCGAACAGTTTTCATATAAAAATCAATCTCATTTGCAATAGCACTTTTCTCCTCCACATCCTCATCATTTTGCATATTTTCTGTAGCGACTTCGTCAAAACAGTTCCAGAAACTGTCGTGTATTTCAATGGTTTTATCATTTTCATTGATATTTCTTTTCTTACGAAATGGAGAAGAATCATCATCCGTACTAGTAGACTCGTCATGACTAATTTTCAGAGCTTCTAAAAGAATTTTTTGTTTTGCTCTTTGCGTTTGAACTAATCCCAGGAAACTGGTTTTGAAACGCGGGTCAAGAAAAGTGGCAACCAGATATTTGTCATTCTCATCAAAGTTGAACCGTGTTTCAAGCTCAACTTGTAGTGAAGATCTCATTCTCAATAAATTTGGTGTTCTATCTGCAGTCTCTTCCTTTCCCAGGTATTTCAACAATGTGACAACATGTGGAATCACTTCAGAGATGCAGGAAATACCTGAGCTGGTTATTTTCGTAATCTCTTCAAATGGTTTGAGAAGTTTGATACATTGTTCCATTAGCTCCCACTGAGAAGGTGTTAAATTGTTTAAAGACTCGTGATCAGTTATGTACAAAGAAACAGCTCGCTTTTGTTCTAATAATCGCTCCATTAAATAATATGTAGAATTCCAGCGTGTGCTTACATCCTGTACTAGTTGGTGGTTTGGCAAGTTAAGTTCTTGGCGAATGCATTTCAGCTTTTCTTGTGCTATACCAGAGTGGTTAAAATGGGTAACAATTCGTCTCGCAGCAACTACCATCTGTGTTATTTCCGTTTGAGACTTTAGCGATTCCTTGACAGCTCGTTGCAGTGAATGAATAAAACAATTGGCAGAATCATATTCTGCGTCTCGTACACCTTTTATCATATTGGCTCCACTGTCATGGACAAGTAAATGGATCTTGCTATGAGGAATATTCCATCTTTCTGCAATAGCATTGAGTTCTTTTGCGATATTGGTACCAGTATGTGAGCCAGAAAATGGCTTCATTGCTAAAACACCATGTTCAAGAATAAACTCTGGAGATATCCAATGCACAGTGAAACTCAAGAAACTCTGGTTATTGTGCTGACATGTCCACATATCAGATGTCACTGATACTGCTGTTGCTCGTGAAATACTAGATTCAATTTTCTAGCAAATTCTATTATATATATCAGGAATAATTTTCTCAGTCATGTAAGTGCGATCAGGTATATTGTATTGAGGTACTGCCTTTTCCATAAGCCTTTTAAAGCCGAATCGTTCAACAAGTGATAATGGTTCGTTGTCTAAGGCTATCATTTCACTGATTAAATAATGATATTTTATTGATTTCAGATCATTAATATCCCATAACAATTTCCTTTCAGTTGTTTCCTTCAGAGTTAACTGTTTCTTTTCTGATGTACCTGGTACTACCAGTATCTTGGAATCGGTAGAAGTAAGAGTACCATCATTTTTGCTGCCACTTGCTGAGGGAACAACAGTTAACATAGTGTACTGCTCGGCATGTTTGCTTTTAAGGTGGTTTTTCAAAGAAGTTGTAGCTGTAAACATAAAAAAATGAACACAATAATTAAGCAATGAAAAATCTGACATCAAAGAAGGGAATTCCCAAACACTACTAGCTTGAACTTGTATTATTCTGGCATCACTTAAGCCTCTGAATTTCAAAGATAATAAATAAAATGTAGACTATATTTAAAAGTAGGACTTATTTATATCAAGTTTATCAACGAAATACCATGTGTAAAATAAAGTACCGGGCAAAGAAAAACAAGAAATAAAAAATTACAAGCGCTAAATACTAAATGTGACAAATTGTTTCACTTAATTAATACATAATAAGATTTTACTTACTTGCTTTCTTTCCTTCTCCGCCACGCAAGATCTTGTTGTTACACAGCAAACACATAGCAAGTTTATTATCTTCACTACAAATCTCGTAATATTTCCAAATAGGCGATTTTTTATTAAATGGTGCCATTTTGTAAAGCTTTTGGCGAACAAACAGTTATATTTTTTAGTAATAGAAACTATTAGTAACACAATTTGATGTAACAATGAGCAAATAACGCATGTTGTGACACAATCTACTCGCAAATGAAACAAACCCTCTCTCACAATTTCTCTCTCTCCAGGCGGGACAATCTCACCCCACATTCTTAAGGATACGATTACATCACCCACCTGACATATGTGACAGAGCTGTGGACTGTCCATCAACACTTGATAACATCCACACACCTGACACATGTTACAATTGAACTTAACAACATATTTTGCCGAATATTCGGCGCTTCGGTTGAGAGCGTAGCCGAATATTCGGTATTCGGCAAAATCACTATTCGTGGCATCACTAACTTATTCTACATACAAACATATCTAGAAGTACCTTTCTGTAATTCCTCATTATGTGCTTCCAATAAGCTTTTCCTTTTACTTAATAATTCCAATTGTTTGATAAATTTATGATTATCATCTTTTATATTTTTTTTCTCTTTGTTCCAATTAATTTTTTCTTCTTTTAATAATTTGATCTCTTTATTCAAATCCTTTATTTGTAATAAAAAGGGATTTAATATTTAATAAAACCTTTAAAACTACAAAAATTAAATATTCTAAATATAATTTTAAATAATTTACAGTTTGAATAACATTAAAATAAATTAGTATGAAATGTTCTTTTTAACTCATTGTTTTTTTTTTGTATTGATTATTCATAACAATTATATATAAATAATATGTTCTATATGTTTAAGAAAGGCATGTTAAAATTATTGAAAGAAAAAATGAAACCTTATAGAAAGTTATCATGCATACAGGTAAATAATTGCAATAAATTATAACAACTGAACTTCCTATCAAATACTGGAGGTAATATACTTCCTTCTACCTGTATAAAAACCTTCCAAATCTCCAGTGATACTCGTTTGACGACATCGCTACAAGAGCGTGGTGTTCTATTTTTGATATTAACGTTGACTGTTTGAATTTTTGTAACGGTAGCCTGATGAAGACCCTGGTAGGGTCGAAAACGTTTGCTTAAACGAGTATCACTGGAGATTTGGAAGGTTTTTATACAGGTAGAAGGAAATAAATTATAATTATTCAAGTTATTTCATACTCACTTTTAAATTTTCCTCATAATTATTTTTTTCTCTTAATAATTTTCTGTGTTTATTAATACATATACCATGTTGTTCTTTTACGTTATTCAAATTTTTTTTAATTTCTTCAAATTGCAGTTTTGTATTGCTATGGTTTGTCTATTTGATAAGTATAAAAAAAATAAAATTTTTAATTTATTTATATGAAATGAATTTAATTAAACTAAAATTAAACCTAATTATAAATTTCTGTTTTTATTATAATATTTAACTTAACTTTTTCTTTTGAAATTTCTGTTTCCATTTTAATAATACAATCTTTCAAATTTGCTATTTCTTCTTTAAGTTTTTCATTTTCAAAAGTTTTAATCTCCAAGTCTTGTTTTGTTTCTGTTAATACCACTTGGATATTTGAAAATTTAGCTGTTTCTTTATCACAATCATCTTTTAGATTATGTATCTGATCATTTAACTAAGAAAAAAATTTTCAATTAAAAATTTAATAAATTTTGATAAAGTTTTACAATTAAAAAAATTTAAATTAAGACAGAGCATATGATTAAAAATACAATATTTATTTCTTATGAAAGACATTTTATTTATCTTTTATACTTTTGTATGTATTATATAATCAAATCATTATGCAATTAAAGACTAAAAGTTTTAGAAAATTTAAAAGAACTTCATTGAATTATAATTTGAAGTTTTTGTAAAAATGAAAATTTGAATATAGAAAATTTTGTAATACTGTATTTATGTTATTGCTTAGCTAGGAAAATAAAACATTTATTTACAAATATTAAAGACTCAACATTAACTTTATATGTATTAAAAGCAATCTTATAAGGAGCATACAAGAACTCAGAATTTTTATAATAAAAACTTATTACAATTTTCATTAACAAAACTAAATAAAATTATAATATTGATCTTCCACACAAACCATTTAATACAAAATATAAAATTTATTATAATCTGTTGCTTATAGAATTAAAACAATGAAGTAGATGAAAAAGAGAATTTCTTCATAATAAAGAAACTACTACTTGTTTTTATTCACACAATACATTTTAATCTACTTTCTAATGAGGACTATATCCAAAAATGTCATAGCTTAAAGTGAATAAAGTTACAAAGTTCTACAGTTGACTAACTGAGATTCTTTTGACTGGATGAATCTTTACAAAACCATAAATTCAGGTTTTTCTAATTTGTGTATAAAATATTTTAATCTAATAAACTTCATTTATATCAAATTAAAACTTTTAATTGAAATGACAAAAATTTTTTATTTGATATCAAATATAATTGACTAATAGTAGTGAATAACAGGAGTTTTTATAGCTTTAAGCTACCAAATATAAGAAAAGATTTTATCTTATGACATTTCTAGATTATAAATTTCAATTAATTTGTATAAACAAACATTCTGAGAGAAATAAATATTAAGGAAAAAAAGAATTTTATCTTATACTGATAACAGTATATTAATAAAAAAAGCAGCATAAATAATATTAAAGACAATTAATCTCTAACATAGATTTAAGACCATTAATCTTATAGTACTTTTTATACTATTATGAAAATTGGACTAGCCATTGTAGTTAATCTAATGAAGTAAGCAATACACCTTTAACAATGGGTGAGGTTGGAGAGATATTAACTGAGTCCAAAATGTTGCTTTTATCCAACTTTACCTATTGTTAAAAATGTATTGCTTAGTTCATTGTGCTGTTATAAACTTTTTCTAATATAGAGAAATATTGTACTCAAATGATGTAATTCTTGTATAATTACTTATCTAAATATAAATAAGTATTGATGTGATATGTAACTAATTTACAAAATCCTTTTTATGTTCATCAAGAAAATATCAATGTTATTGCCTGTAGCAGATTATTATTTATGAGGACTATTTTTAATGTAAGAATAATTTGAGCAACTTATCTACACTTATTGTTGACTGACAGCTTTGTTTAGGCTTACAGGGACACTATTAGTCTAACAGCACAAAACCTTTCTCACTAATTTCTAGCCTTATTAACTGGAGTACAAACGTTTTTGGCCTTCTTAATAGGCCTTCCTCGGGTACACTGTGGAGCGTCGGTTAGAAGAAGTTTAAATGCTGCGACACCTGGGTAAACATTGGCAGCATTTAAACTTCTTCTAACCGACGCTCCACAGTGTACCCGAGGAAGGCCTATTAAGAAGGCCGAAAACGTTTGTACTCCAGTTAATAAGGCTAGAGATTAGTGAGGAAGGTTTTGTGCTGTTAGTCTTAGAAATAGTTCTAGCTACATATGCAAAGTAGTGTAAACACTATTAGTCCCTGTAAGCCTAAACTAAGTCATCTCTGTGTTTCTTAGTGTGTTAAAGAATATTTATTAATATGCCTTCTTTATGACAACATATGTCCTCATGTTGCTGGAAAAATGCATATGTTGATATGAAATTTAGATGGGAAATCTTGTACCATTCTCCCTACAGTCTGGACCTGACATCATCTGGCTTTTATTGTTCATTGCAATGAAGAAGTTTTTAGATGGTAAACAGTTGCAGAAGATGATAACATTCTGGAAACTGTCTCTAACTGGTTCAATGAATTGGCAACAGACTTTTTCAATGAACAATCATGAAGCTTGTCTCTTGATTAGAAAATGCTTGCATTCACAATAGGAATTATGTGAAGTAATATACTATTGTATATTTAATGTAACAATAAAAATTTTAAAGTATACTAATTTTCTCTATTTATTTTAATACAAAATGGTTCTTATTTTAAGAATGATCTCCGTACATTGAATTGAACTTTTGTTTTTTTATATCTTTCCAGGAATATTGTGTACAATAAAATTTTACAATTATTATATATTTACAATTACAAGAATTAATTAGTTCAATTAAACTGTATTCAGAAAATAAATTTTATTTATTTCCCTTTTTGTTTGTGGGTTGTTTTACATACATGTCACATTTGACTGGCAGTTTATATGTATAAACTATCAGTCTATGCAATATCAGTTTTACACTACTGAATGTATATTTTTAACTATCAGGAAAAAATAGATTTTTTATTTTCAAGGACAGTTATAATATTATAATTCTATAGATATGGGGTTAACTAATTATTCACAATAATCATTATGATTGCATTTTCTAGCACAATTGAAAATTTAAAGTTTAACTATAACTTTGCATTATCATTTATCACTAACCAATATGAAAACTAACAATTATCAACCAATAAAAACTGAAAAATAGCATTAAATATGACAAAGTAATCAATTTAAAAATTTCAAATTATCATACTTTGGAATTTTTATTCTGTAGAATTGAAAGCAAGAACTCCTTAATTTTAATTGATCATTTTATAACTTTCCTGTACTAATAATAACTGAGTTATAAAATTAAGTGAGATAAGTAAATAAGACTGTAAGTAATGGAAATTTGGTTTTATTCAGTATGACATTAAAAAAATTGTATGAAAACAATTAAAAAATATAATTAGTACATTTAAGTTATAGAACTATTATTATTGGTTAATAGTAATTCATCCAGCATTTGTTTGACTGCTCTGAGTATAACAAACATTGATTACAATACAAAGTTTTATATGTACTTTAACTTGTATGTTTTGGGATTTGCTAATTCTGATATTGATGATAATATCTATGGATTTCATTATATTCCTTTACAATAAATAGATTCTATTGCATTCCTGATTCCAACACAAGACAGTCATTCCCAAATGTTATTCAAGCTAAAGCTTCAAGATGCTAGCATATGCTATTTAAAAACTAATTTTTGAACAGGATATAAATCTTTACTTTTTGTAAGTTTTATATCCTGAAAAATTACAAAATTTCATATAAAATTTATTATACATTATTATTTCCCACTTATTAATTTACCATTTTTATTTATTATTTTAAATTATTTTTTCTGTTTATTAAGCAAATTTTATAAAATTAATCTAACATAAGATAAGTAGAGTATTTGATATATATATAAATAATTATTGATAATTCTCACTTGTTCTATAATATTTTCTTTTTCATATAACTTTTTCTGAAATTCCTCTTGTTCTTCTGTTGAATTTAATAATTTTATTCTAATTTGTTTTATTTCTTTCATTAAATTATCATTACTAATCAACAATTCTTCTTTTTCTGCCTCTAATGCCTTCAATCTAAAAATAAAATATAATAATTTAATTATAATATTTTAAAAGCATTAAGTTAATAGTTACATATTTCATTACTTAAAAGATCTAGCATTAATGAAATTTTCAGAATAGATCATCATTTGATCCCAAAATATAATTTTCATCATAATCTAACATGATTATGATGATAATCATATCATTAGAATACAATTTCAAATTGCAGACCTATACATTCCCACTGTCTATCCTTTGTTGATCTCAAGAACGGGGTTAGATATCTGTACATCAAAACTAGACTTAGAAAGCTAAGGGGCCAAAGGCCACAATTAACTATACAGGGTGTCTATAAAGTTCATGTGGAATTTTAAAAATTTATAACTTTTTTAATATTTGTGATAGAAAAAATCTGTAGAAATATTAGAAAGCTTAATGTACCTAGTTTTAAGTAAAATTATTTAGTAACTCTTCAACACAATAATTTAACAATTTTTCGAAACTTTAAAAATACTTCTTTTTCAGAATTACATGTGACCCATGGAGTCAACTGAAGAAAAAGTAAACTGTGTTCTTTGATTGGCTGAACTTGGCTATAATAAAACAATAAAAAAAATATAAATTTTGTTATTTCCAACACATACAACATAATTTCTCTCACAAATACTAATAAAGTTATAAAATTTTTTAAATTGCATGCAGATTTCATAGATACCTTGTATATGAACTTCTGGTCTAAACTGGAAGTCACATGATTTCAATTCAAAATTTTTTCCAGTACAGAGTTAGATAAATGACTGGCATGCTTGATTGTTATCAGAAGTATGATGTATAGGGGCAAGATACCACTAAAATGCATACCAAATATGAGATGCTTAAAAGCCAAAGATCCCAATTGTCTATACAGAAACTTCTGGTGTGAACTGGAAGTCACATTATTTTTCTTAAATTAAAAGATGATTAAAAATTGCAATCTGGCCTTGTGACAATGCCAGAATAAATAATTGTTTTTTAAAGTTAGTATTTTTAGAATAATAATTAAAATTTTAATTTATATGAAGGTATTTAGCTTATGATAAAATAATTGATATACTAAATTATATATATAAATTATTATTTACTCTATTATCTCTTTTCTCCATCATATCATATTTTGCTAAGAGTGTGTTGTAATGCAAAATAATGTTTTAAAGGAATTAATGATTATGACATTTGTATCCTAATTTCATTCATTTATTTCAAAAAAAAGTGTTCTATTTAATTCCATAATGAAACATTTATTTTTATTTGAAATTTGCTTCTATTTTATAATTTGTATTAATCCAACCTAAGTAATAAAAGTATCTTGCAACTTAACCAATAGTTTTAACATAATCAATGAAAATATGTAAATTAATTATAATAATCCTTACTACTTTCAATAATGCAGATAAATTAAGAAATAATTTAGTAAAAGTATCAACACAATAGAATTATATCAAAAAAATATTAGCTTATTTTTGCTTTATAGAAAAAATTAACTGAAAGAAATATCTATTTCAGGAAAAATATTAAATTAGAATAAATATCAAAGGAAATAAAAAAAAACTTTAATGATTATAAAGATGTTTTCATATAGAATTTATAAGTTTATTTATGGTTTGTCTGATTTTATGCATATTTTAAACAAACAGCAGCTCACATTCAAACTAAAAAACAATTTAATTACTTCAATAAGTCAGAATAATTCAGTGGCATGCAATCCGTGGAAGCGTATTTTCTAAAATATAAATACATATTGTGCGATTATCTTCATATTTGAACGTACTTTGAATTAATTAAAATTAATATTTTATTATTACCGCATTACGTATCTTATTACAAAACAATGATAAGATTGCGATTGTATATTTGAATATAAATTAGTATATGCATATTCGCAATGGAAGAGCCGTATTTTTGAATGCGGGATAGCTTCCACGGCGAAAATATTTGAATCGTGTAAAGCAGCCGTATTATAGGGTGCGTATACTTTTTGCTAGCTTCCAAGCTCGCCGAGCTGACACCTAGCGCTGCCTGACGTCATACTAGCACTGCCTGACGTCATACTAGCACGTTGGTAAAAGTATACACAGTAATGGCGTCTTACGGTTTAGTATCAGCGGCTGTAGCTATTATTTCACAACTGCAATCGCTAGATTCGGAGTCTGAAGACGATGATTTATTGTTAGAATGTGCAATGTCTGCAGTTGAAGCTGAGGTGAATGCATCTAGTGGCGAAAAAAGCAAGTCAGTCGAAAAAGTAAAAGGGTATGTTGAGTACACTGTGCCAAGATACTGATCGAAGGATTTTCAGGAACATTTTCGATTGAACAGAACAACTGTGGACATTTTAATATCAAAATTAGCACCCTTACTTAATAGCAAACAGAATTCAAGAGGACGATGCCCATTGACGGTGGAGAAAAAAATATTGTGCAGTCTCTACTTGTTATCGAATCAAGCTCCGTTCAGGTAAAGTACAGATCTATATCGTTAATTGAGATTCATGTTAATAATATGAATTGTGGTTAAAATTAACAAAATGCATATATTTTTTTGAATTAAAAGAAAACTATAAAGAATTCTTAAATGAAACTTTAAACATAACTTATTTATACTGTAAAATAGAATTTAACAATTTTTAACATCATAAATTTTGTAAATTCTTGATCTTTTTGTGTCAATTAAATATAACCACACCAAATTTTTATATTTTAAAGGTAAATTTATACATACAGAAGCTAAAAATGGTACAACTAAGATTAAATACTCTGTTTGCATTAAATTACAGTTTGTCCCTCTTAATTTCTTCTCCAATAGGTAATAAATTNCCATACACGCATTCGCGCATGCGTTTTACAGAGCATCGACATCCCGCGGTTTAGCTCGTGGATGCTATCCGCCAAAATATGGTGTAACGCTTCCAACGATTCTATCCATTAGCCTTTCGTAAGGACCTATTTGACTACGTGAATTAAGATTTAGAAAGTAAAGAAAGGCTTATGTTATTTAATGTACGTTTCTTTTAAAAAGCTTTATATTTAATTATAATTTTCTTTAAAAGAATATTAATTTAATTGAAGAATATTTTGTACCAGGTATGTATATCCACCGCACATTTTATGACACTTGTGCAGTTTATGGGTACGGCTTTTTGAAAGGTTTTCTTCCATAAAATTAATCGATTCTAGACTAATTTGACTCAAACATTTCCAAAACAAGTATAATTTGTTGGAAATGATCGATATAAAATATGTTATAAACAAAAAATTGTCTGAATACCAAGTATAACCAGTTAGAAAACGCCATTGCTTTAAGCTTGTTTTCGTCGCGGAGCGGCACATCGGCGTGACGTCACATTTGTCGGTGCAATTCGGTCACCCGACTACTCATCTGACTCGTTTTCTGATAACTTATTCTTTTTGCGAAGAATTCGCTGAACTTTGGAGACGTCGCGTGATAGATCGTAATATACTATTGTATTTTTATTGTAATTAGAAACGACTTATTATTGACTATATGAAGTAACAAAGGTAAACCGCTCGCTAACAACAATAGTTCTATCATGATATACAGTAAAAACTGCTTAGGCGACCATCTGCCTTCGACGGGCACCTGTCAAAACGGGCAAAAATATCTGGCACGGAATAGTTTATACATAGTCTTCGTATAAATTACCTGTATTGAACGATCACCTGTGTAACGTGACCCGGGTATCGATTTTTGGTCCGAAACAACATACAGCAACTGTAATAAGCGACCACTTCCGTTATTTCCGTGATATTTTTAGAAAAACAATATTCAAGTAATTTTCGCGCACAAACAATAAACGCATTAATTAACACAAAATCAGTTTTACAGGCAACCTTCCTTTTTCGATTCCGCGATTGTCATTGATGTAATGAAATCGTATTATGAGAAGAAATACAGTAATAGAATAGTTTTATTATTAATTAATAATTTTTTATTGTACTTAAGAAAATATTAAATATTTAAAAATACAGTATTTTTAGATTAACGAAAACCAAAAGCAAAGTGATGGAGAGATACGACGCGCTTGTATATCGATGACGTAATACACATAACTGAGGAGCAAACGAACTTTGTTCGCTATCTGAGTTGTTCGTTAATCGATTATCAATTTACCATATGTTTGTATGGGAATTTGATTAATTCGTTCTGGAGACTCCAAAAAATTAAAAATATATACTTTCTTACTATATTCATAACTAAATGTAATAATGTAAATACATATACAGTATTCGCAGTCTTGCATTTTTATTAGTTATGTTTTTTTTTGTTTGTGGGGGTTAAAGAATCTGTCTAATGTCGATTGCTTTTCTCTTTTTCAGGATTTTCAGAAGTAATTAATAGCATTGTAATTATAGAGACCCTCAAGCCGATTAACCTTAATCTGGTTTGTATGCCATTCTAAGATCGTTGATCTGACATCCCCACTTCTTCAAAAGATCTGTAATTAATAGCAAATATCGGCATTAATCCTCTTTTTCGTAATAAAACATATCTCGCTGAGTTTCTTGGTGTTCTCCATTTAAGAGTTCTTGGCGTTCTTCTGTCGTCAGATGTGTCAGGTTCCATTATGACCTCTCCAAGGTTCTTTATTTCGCGGAAGTGATTTTTGTTACTCCTTTAGTTGCTTGAGTCTTGAAGATTGAACTGCTCCCTACTGTAGATTTGTTCAAGCCATACTGCCCAGCAACATCAGACATCTTATGCCCACTCTCTAACTTTGCTATTTTATCTTTTGAAAATAAAACTCGACGCAAAACTTGATGAGTGCCTGCTCGACAGTCTCACGAATACTATAAAAGAATTGTTTCTGTCAGAAAAATAAAAGACTGCAATTACAAGCGAGAGTTTCAAAATTCAGTGGAATACTATCTGATCAGTATATTCCGGGTTGAGCATTGATGTTGATGTCTCCAGTGCTCCGAAAAGTTTCGAATTGTTGCCTGAAGACAAGGAAAAATCAGTCAGTATTTGCTATTTTTGTTGCTTCTTTTTATGTTTGTTCAGTGAAGTATTCGTTATCCAAACATGTGTTCGTTGTCCGATCGTAAAAATCTTTCGTGAAAGTGTTTGTTATCCGATTTGTTCATTAAATTAACCGATCACTCACTGTATTAGTCAGATGCAACAAGAGATGTATAATGTCTTGATGTAAATAAATATAATTCAATTTTGTTTAAGACATGAAAGAGATTAGGCCATTTAAAAGCAGAGCAGAATTATTAGTTATATATTGCATTATCATATGTTATTATATGTTAATTTTAATCCACATTTAAAATGGAATGATGTCTCCAAAGTTCAGCGAATTCTTTGCAAAAAGAGTAAATTATCAGGAAACACGTCTGAGATGAGTAGTCATGTGACCGAATAGCCACATGCTTCGTGCTTCATATGTATCGACCGTCTGATGTGCGGCTCCGCGACGAAAACAAGCTTAAGCAATGGTGTCTTCAAACGGCGTACACTTGGTAAGTATTTCAACAATTTTTTGTTTATAGCATATTTTATATTGATCATTCCCAACAAATTATACGTGTTTTGGAAATGTTTGAGTCAAATTCGTCTAGAATCGATTAATTTTATGGAAGAAAACCTATCAAATTTTCGTACCCCCTAAACTGCATAAGTGTCCATTTTATTTCACGAAGTAAGTTTTTATAATTTTATTTTTAATTTTAGCCCGTATATCATGGCTACTGATTTGGAGTGTAATTGTAATATTGAAAATTTATTAAAAACAAGTTTTAACTCAAGACCATATAATGAACAAGAAAAAATTATTAAAAGTGAAAGACCAAAACCTAAATTAAATATAAATACTTCAACAAAAAAATTTGTTCGACATTTTCACGATAAAATTTATGAAGATACAAAATGGCTCTGTGGATGCATAAAAATGCAAAAATTGTTTTGTTGGCCTTGCCTACTATTTTCACATGAAAGTAATGTGTGGAATAAGCATGGTTTTGACGATTTAAATAATTTGTGTAAAGCTCGCAAAAGACACGAACATCGTAAATCTCATATAGACTCTTTCATAAAATTGAAGAAATTTGGAAATCAAAGCAGAATAGAATTTAACATTAGTAATCAATATAAAACAAACATTGAAAATTATAACAAGGTAGTTACGGCTAATAGATACATTATATCTAAATTAATAGATGTTATATGTTTTTTATCAAAGCAAGAATTGGCATTTAGGGAATCTATCAAATCTAATAACAGAGGTAATTATATTGAACTTGTTTATTTATTAGGTATGTTGGATAATCAATTAAAAGTACATTTAGAAAAGTCTATGGTTTTTAATAGCTTATCAAACAAAATTCAAAATGATCTTGTTGAATCAATAGGAAACATTTTATTGCAAGAAATTAAAAAGGAAATTGAAAATGCAAAATTTGTTGCTATAATTGTAGATGAAACAACTGATATTGGTGACGGAGCTCTGATGTCGACTGTATTTCGTTACGTGAAAGAAAATGGTAACGTTGTTGAAAGATTTGTCGGCTTTACTGATGTGAGTGAGAATAGAGATGCAAATTCATTATTTACTCACATTAAGAGTTACTTAGATGAATTTCAATGCACTGAAAAATTAGTGGCACAAACATACGACGGTGCTGCCGTACTGGCCAGACAACATAATGGAGTCCAAGCAGCAATTAAAGAAATATCAAAACAAGCTATTTTCGTACACTATTATGCTCACAGATTGGACCTAGTTTTCTCTCAATCTGTTGGATATATAAAAGAATGTAAAATATTTTTTCAAACTATAACAGGATTTTCTTCATTTTTTTCTAAATCTTCTAAAAGATCTCATGCTTTAGAGCTAGAAGTCAAAAAACGTTTTCCTTCAGCCACACCTATTAGATGGAATTGCAATAGCCAGATTGTGAACTGCATTGTGAAGTATAAACAAGAATTAAAACTTTTGTTGTCAAACATGATTGAAAGTCCAGAACAATGGGATTCTGACACTACAATTGCTGCAAGAGGATTATACCATTATTTAATAGATTTTGATTTCCACTTTTTATTACTAGTTTTTCATCAGATATTTGCACAGTCAGATATACTATTTGATATATTACAAGAAAAGAATTTTAATATAGCATATTGTATTACTAGAATAAATCAGTTTATTGACTTTTTACAAAAGTATAGAAATGATTTTGATTTGATTTGGGATGCTTTGGAAGATGAAAAATTTTTAGAAATTCAACTAGCAAAACGAATGAGATATACTGATACTGAGTCTAAAAAGGAGTTATATAAACGTCTGTTTTATGAAATAATGAATATATTGATACAAAATTGTATTGACAGATTTTCAGACATAAAATCATTAACATTTTTATCACTTTTAGATGTTAATAATTTTAAATCTTATGTAAAACAATTTTCCGAAGCAAGTTTTAATTCTTTAAGTAAAGTGTATGGAGAATTTTTTGATTTATCTAAATTACGTAGTGAATTGCGATATTTATATTCATGTCCAGACTATATTGGCAAGTCACTCCTAGACATAAAAAATATTATAATTAATGATAATCTGAACAAAGATGTACTAAAAGAATTATATGATTTAATATCGTTAGTTTTTACAGTACCATCTACGAGTGCATTTGTTGAGTGCAGTTTTTTAACCATGAAGCGAATTCATACATTTGCAAGGAACATTCAGTCAGAGGAAAGATTGTCATCACTAGCATTGCTTTCGATAGAAAAAGAGCTTTTAAATACTTTGAAGGAAACAACGACAAACAATTTTTATGATAAAGTAATTAACGACTTTGCAGAAAAAAATCACCAAATAGAGTTAGTTTATAAAAAATAACAAAAACAAGTTTTTATATCTTTGTTTCATGTCAATATATCTTATATCTCATGTATATCATGTATATTTCATATATATCATGTTACTATATCAATATATTTTAGAATTAAAATAAATTGTTTATTTTTGTCATTTCCAGTATTTGTTCATAATTTTTATGGAAACACAGTTTCAAAATGTCACCACACGTCGCTGTAGAATATATTTAAAATGTAAATTTAAAACTTAACAGCATTAATGAGTATTCAGCAATGGAGACAACTATGTTTACAGGTAACTTGCCCATTACCACATGACACCTATATCACATGAATAAAACCCATTAATCAAAATATGGTTTAATAACAAATATTAATTCTTGATTTATTTTTTAAAATCTGTAATGAATTTACACCTAGTTTTTGCTTAGTCTTCTCCTTTTATATTTTCTCATTGCTATTTTCTTTCAACATATATTAATAGCTAACTTCTCATAGATGATCATAATACATATGTTTCACACTATTTCTTGCAATCATTTTTCAGTAGTCAGATGAGTACAAAAATTTTCCAGAATGATCTATACTGAAATATGGACATGCTTAAATCTCTTTTGTGCATTTTAATTTTACACAATTATTTCCAGGAATCATCAGTTTAACTATAAAAGATTAGACATACATTTTAAAGCAGGATAAAAATGTTTTTTAGAACAATAAAAATATTAACTTGTACTGGAATTAGAAAGAATTAAGCAAAATTATCACCTTTTTAAATATTCCAGCAAATAATTTAATATTGTAAAAACGTTTTTGATCATCTTTAATGATCTTCATCAGTTAAATAATAAAGTAAAAAGAACATTAAAGAAATAGAACTTAAATTAAAACTATGAAAAATAATAACTGCGCATGAATTTGTGATGATGTGCGCTTAAGGGAATGAATACAAAAAGATAGGGATATAAGAATATAAAAAATAAAAAGCTTGACAGAATTGCATTAAAAATTAATGCCTTGTAAAAATTACAGTTTATCTTCATAAAATGATTCCCATGCTGCAGATAGAGAGTGGGCGTCCCTATGATTGATACACAAAGTTTTCCCTTGGGCTTCTTAAACCTCAAACTTTTCAAGATATCTGATGGAGTGCTTGTTAGATGTGGGTCTAATGATGGAAGCTTCGTCCCATATAACCTCAACTCCTTGCTGGTTGGCATAAGATGCTAAAACAGTGCTATTATTGTTCTTTCTAATAGAGTATTTATGTTCTTTGATTCTTTGTTCCAATCTTCTCAGAGTAGCACCTATATAAACACTATCTGAATCAAAACAACGGTCTTTGATTGGTATGGAGTAAATGCCGGAGGTAGCGATCTGGTTGTCATTCTTTTTGTCATTTCTCAGTAACTTGTATACTGTAGGATTGCGGTGATAAACAATCCGTAAATTATTGATATTTGCAATATCATTCATCATTTTTCTTAAGAACGGATGACAGTTGATTACCATCATTCATTTATTGTTAATTAAGGGAGACTGTATTGTTGGTACAATTAATTGTTTTGTTAAAGTTCAAAAAAACATAAGTAATTGTTAGTGTAATAATTGTATATAAGTAATACTTGATAATTGTGCTAATTAAACAATTAATTGCATTGTTAAAATTTAAACACTAAATTACGATACAATACGATCAATTGTTAATTAATTAATGTGTTGTAAACACAATACTTTCTAAACTTTAACAAGTATCTAATCTGAAAAAAATTTTTTATATTTTTTTCAGATTAGATACTTGTTAAAGTTTAGAAAGTATTGTGTTTACAACACATTAATTAATTAACAATTGATCGTATTGTATCGTAATTTAGTGTTTAAATTTTAACAATGCAATTAATTGTTTAATTAGCACAATTATCAAGTATTACTTATATACAATTATTACACTAACAATTACTTATGTTTTTTTGAACTTTAACAAAACAATTAATTGTACCAACAATACAGTCTCCCTTAATTAACAATAAATGAATGATGGTAATCAACTGTCATCCGTTCTTAAGAAAAATGATGAATGATATTGCAAATATCAATAATTTACGGATTGTTTATCACCGCAATCCTACAGTATACAAGTTACTGAGAAATGACAAAAAGAATGACAACCAGATCGCTACCTCCGGCATTTACTCCATACCAATCAAAGACCGTTGTTTTGATTCAGATAGTGTTTATATAGGTGCTACTCTGAGAAGATTGGAACAAAGAATCAAAGAACATAAATACTCTATTAGAAAGAACAATAATAGCACTGTTTTAGCATCTTATGCCAACCAGCAAGGAGTTGAGGTTATATGGGACGAAGCTTCCATCATTAGACCCACATCTAACAAGCACTCCATCAGATATCTTGAAAAGTTTGAGGTTTATGAAGCCCAAGGGAAAACTTTGTGTATCAATCATAGGGACGCCCACTCTCTATCTGCAGCATGGGAATCATTTTATGAAGATAAACTGTAATTTTTACAAGGCATTAATTTTTAATGCAATTCTGTCAAGCTTTTTATTTTTTTTATTCTTATATCCCTATCTTTTTGTATTCATTCCCTTAAGCGCACATCATCACAAATTCATGCGCAGTTATTATTTTTCGTAGTTTTAATTTAAGTTCTATTTCTTTAATGTTCTTTTTACTTTATTATTTAACTGATGAAGATCATTAAAGACGATCGAAAACGTTTAAATTACAATATTAAATTATTTACTGGAATATTTAAAAAGGTGATAATTTTGCTTAATTTTTTAGAACTTGAAATATATATAATGTATCTGAATAAATAGCATAAACAGATTGTTTTTCAAATATGTTTGAAGTTGTAAAAATTTGTAAATGTATATAAAACATATACAACCTGTTTATAAATAAATAAAGATAATATATTGCTCAGCATATTTATTTTGAAAAAATTTATAACTTACTTAATTTCTAATTCTGATTCATCTCTTTTTCTATCAGTCTGTTTAGTTAATTCTTCAGTATGTTGTTTCAATAAATTCACATTTCTGGAATAATTTACTTTTTTCTTCTGAGAATCCAATATTTGTTTCCAGCTAGTTTTGTTTTTCTGAAATATTTAATGCTTCAAATAAATCTAAAATTTTTGGATGAAGTCACAGTAGATTGATAAGCTGTTGTTACATAACATGCTAGATTAATTACTCTTTTAAATATTTGAAGTCAGAAATAATCATCAGCTTTTTTAACAAATGATATAAATGATATAATAAGTCATTTATTTGGATGAGATCAAACCATTTTTAATACAATAGACAATATTTTAGTTATCTTCTATTTAAAACACTTCTGTGCTTATACATATGTAATTATAAGAGCCATTAAGACAGGAAAATTAATATCACGATGAGTCAATAAGCCCTTAGTAAAGAAAATATAATAGATTGGAAAGATGCAAGAATGTTGGAAGAAATGAGAGAAAGAGGAGAGAGAAGTAAGGAAGCATGGATATATGAAAAGACTTTAAGAGGTGAATTAATTAATGGCAAAGACTTTGAGATATTACCAATACTTGGAAATGACTCTTAAACAAACTTCATTAATTAAGATGACATTTTTCCCTCCTTTGTGTTTTCAGACCTTTTGCAAATCTATGGTGTGGTTTTAGAGGAAAGAAATGAAAATTCAAGTAGAATAATTTTGATTATCCTGTTATCAATTTTGGTGATAATGTCGTGTAAAAACTTTTTTTTTAGTAAAAGTTTTATTTAAAATCATTTTTTAATAGTAAATTATTTCAAATGATATTAGTTAATGCTAATTGGTAAGAAATGACAAGTCTAGAATAATTTACTTTGTTGAAGGGAATGTTAAATAATAGAAATGAGCCTTTTATTAAATAAAAGTTATCTTTAATGTTTTTAACCTTTTAAATTTGAAGTTTGTAAATTGACATCAAATGATAACATTTGTGAAATGTTCTGTTTATCAATAAGACAGTGTATTATTTGATTTCATATTACTTTATATTTCAAATATATCAAATCAATTTACAAAGTAGTTTTTTATGAATCATCTGATATCAATTGATCATTTAAAATTTTATCAATTGGCAATAACTGATATCAATTGAAGTCATATGAAATTATCCAAAAAAATCATTTCATAAGTGATATTATTTCATCAATTCATACCAAATGGTAATGTCTCATACAGGGCCGTTGAGAGTTGTATGGGGTCTGGGGTAGAGTGGGGCCCTTCTGCCATTTTTTAAAAAACAAATTAAATGCATAGAACATATCTTTATAGTAAAAAACAATGTTGAACCTTTTATTTTTTATTAGTAAAATTTGCATTAATTTACAGAAGTAGAAATCAGTATGGGCCCTTAAATTTTCTCTGGATCAGGGAAAAATCCCCAGTTCCTCTTTTTCAATGACTCTGATCTGATATCATTTGAAACTGTCCAAATGTGTTGAAAAGTGAGATGTGCGAAGCATTTTTTCCAGTAGGAAGTAGATTAATAAGATGATGGTATATCAATTGTCTAGTTACAATGGGTTCCAGAACAAGCCATGCACATGAAGGTTTGGTGTTTAACCCTTTCCATTTGGAAAGAATTAAAAAATTAAATTAAAATTTAAATAGTATATTGTAGTGATACCGGACCTTCTCGTCCTCCCTCTCCGGGGGTTTTCGTCAGGGCAGATGCGATCTATCCATCAACGCGATCTATCCATCGACACACGCTAACGAGGGGCCGTTAAGACCCGGGAAGAAAACACGGGAAGAGGAAATTTTTGAGAGAGGAATTCGGGACACGAGAGGGAGTGCGAAGTAGTGGTCCCTGAGAGCGGAATAAAGTTTTTTGTGGAAATATTGGACTAGTTGATTAATTAGTGAGACAAACCGACGGGGTGGAATCCGCTGGTTAAGAACGGGTTCCCTACATATATTATATATGTTATTTATTATTTATTTTGTATTGATTCAATTTTTTCTTTCTCTATTGTATTGTGTTACTCTTCCTATGTTGTAAA